CACGGAGACAAGCTGGAGGAGTACCCTAAAATCAGAACCAGAATGCCAAGCTGGGGATTGAGAGACCCCGACTCTTGAATTTACTGTAAAGACTTAGGGAGACCCCTGCACTTCTCAAGGCCTCTGCAAAATATAGAAGGCTGCCTCTATTTTATAGGGTCCTCCTTATAATAACATTATGGTAAGTGATTCATGCTTGACAAGGTCAGCCAACAAGGCAATCTCTTTAAGAAAAGCACGGAGAAGTTTCAGTGGTTTGAGGCACTGGCATGGACACTAGGTTTGGGTTATGGCAGGCAGCGAGGGCTTTCAGTGCAGCCAAACACTTGCTAATCATGGCCATGTGCAATGGGAGTGTGTCTGACATAGCCTAGATATAAGCCCTGGATTATTCTAGAAAAGATTATATGTCAGTTTCTTAAATGCACACTATAGAATAAAATGAGTAAAGATAAAAATGACACCCCAAAAAAAGGTTAGATAAGGGAAGACCACGAGGCTGGGAATGGATACAGAAAATGAGCAGTGTGGGTCTGTATCCATGAGAGAGCTGTGGACAGAGAAAGCTGGCCCGAGCTTCTTTTTATTTTATTTATTGTTTATTATTATTGTTATTGTATGTGTGTATAGCACATGTATGCGTGGAGATCAGAGGACAACTTTGAGGTGTTAAAGTATGAGTTGTTTTTAGGATAGAACTCAAGTTGTCAGGCTTGCATGGCCAACACTTTACCCACTAAGTCATCTTGCTGACTGTGGCCTAGGCTTCTTAATGGTCAGATACAGGCAAATGGCCCAGGGACTGCAAGACAGATGCAAATCAGTTGCTTGGACATTCAATCTCTGACTCAGAAACCAGAAAGGGTCTCTGATGTAATTCGGTGAAGGGACCCCATGATTCAAAATGCAGTGACCAACCTGGACATCAGGTCCCTTGGTGATACACAGAATCCCAGGTCATGGTGTCTGAGTGAGGATATTCCTGGTGCCTTAAGCACCATCCAGAAAGTTGGAATTTGGGGGTGAGAGCTGTTTTGCATAGTCTCCAATATGATGATGTATAAGCCACAGATGGTGGGGTACCTGGACACTCGTCAGTGGACAGTATGGATTGTTCTAGTTTAAGGGGTGGCGCTCATGTGCTTGTGTGACACCCCCCCCCCTTTCCTTTGTCACTCTAGGTTCAGTTTCTCTTTGCTCTGACTAGAGACCCAAGGAAGTAAAAAATACTCGGATCCCTTGGAAGGTAGTGCTTCACAGACACTGGTTTGCCTCTCCAGACAGTTGGAACCTGAGAGGAGACTTTTAAACTGAGCTGGGGGAGAGGGGGGTGGAGATGGCTAAATCTGACAAATGCCTACTATCCAAGCATGAGGACCTGAGTCTGGATCCCTAGAACCCATGGAAAAATCCAGGCAGAGTAGTGTGTGCCAGCAACTTAGCATGGTAGAGGAGGGGTGTGGAGACAGGTAGATCCCTAAAGCTTATGGGCCAACCAGAGCTTCAGTTTCAGCAGGAGCCTGTCTCAAAGCATAAAGGTGGTAGGGCTAGAGAGAGAGATGGCTCAGTGGTTAATTACACTGGCTGCTCCTGCAGAGGACTTGGGTTAGGTTCCCAGCACATGGCAGCTCACAACCATCTCTAACTCCAGGCCCAGGAAATCCAACACCCTTATCTGGCATCCTTAGGCACTCTATGTAAGTGATACACAGGCATGCGTGTGGGCAAAACACCCATACATGTACATTAAACATAAATAATGAATACAGGTGGAGAGTGATTGAGGAACACATTCTACATTTCCCCTGGGCCTCCACATGTATGCACACACAAACACATAGCCCAAACGCACACACCACAACACGCACTGGGGTGGAGTGTATATGGAGCTGGTCTAGGATAGAAAGGTCAAGCTCCAGAAGGAATCATGAATCTGAGACCATAAGGCTAGAGCTGCAGCTGAGGCCCCACAGTCCCCAGCCTGGATTTTAGTCCCTTGCCCTAAGCGGCCACCGAACAAAAGAATCAAGTAGACATTTCACCCTGGAAGAAAATTACTGTGCATAGCTCTTGTAAGAGCTGTGGAATGGCTTCGCATTATATAATTTTATTCAAGCTGATATGGGCCAATAAATATAAATGTGCGTGTGTGTTCTCTGTTTTAAAACATTTTAATGTTTAAAACATGATTTACTAATGCTGCTAAGGATGTCTAGAATTTGATTTACTGCATAGTATTGAATGTTTATACTTGTTCCTTGCAGCAATTCTTGCCAAAGAGCCATTTTATCTACAGGAATAATAAATAAGTCAATATGTGGATGGCTGTGCACATTTTCCCCATATGCAGCCGTACTTGGTAGATGCTGCTTTGCACACAAACACGCCAAAGGTAAACTTAAGAGACTCACACAAGTCCTTGCTGTCCAAAGTGTAGCCAGTGTCAAGATAAGCCAGGCATGGTGGTGCATGCCTATACGCCCAGCATGTGCAATGCAAGAGGATCAGGAGTTCAAGATCACCCTCAACCACATAGGAAGCTCAGAGCCAGCCTGAGCTATATTAGACTCTGCCTCAAAAACAAAACAAAACAAAACAAAAAGCAAAGGGGCCAGGGAGATCACTCAGTGGGTAAAGTACTTGCTGTGATGACCTGTGTTCAGGTCCCTGAATCTGGATCCACAGATCCCATGTGAAAAGCAGGAGGCAGCTTTAATCTATAATCTAACCATTTCTCTAGTGTGATGGGAAGTGGAGGTAGGAGAATTGCCCAGAGCTCATGGGCTAGCTTGCCTGGAGCATGCAGTTCAGGGACAGACAAAAGAGACCTCACTTCAAAACAACATGGAAAGTGAGAGTTGATTCCTAAAAGTTGTCCTCTGACCTCCAAATGCACGAGCCTTGGTGTTTGTGTATGTGTACACATACAGATACAGACACATACACACACACACACACACACATATGCACAGACACACACACAAACACAGTCACACATGAACAGACACAGATACACACACAGACACTCACACACAGATATACACACACAGTCACACACACACACAGTCACACACACACACAGACACACACACACACACACACACACACACACACACACACACACACACACAGCTGGAGATGTAGCCCAGTGCTTGCCTAGCATGTACAAAACCCTGGGTTCAGTCCTCATCATCCAGCATGGTTCTGTTTCCATCAGTCCCAGCCTTTGGGAGGTGGAGGCAAGACAGGAGCTTCAGGATCATCCTCAGCTACACAAGTTCAAGGCCATTCTTGGACACATAAGACTGTTTTAAAAGTGTGTGTGTGTGTGTGTGTGTGTGTGTGTGTGTGTGTGTGTTCAGTGCAGTGGTTCTCATCCTGTGGGTCACAACCCCTTTTGGGGGGTCAAATAGCCCTTTTGAAGGGGTTGCATATCAGATATCCTGTATATAAGATATTTATGTTATGACTCATAATGTAACTGTAGCAAAATTATGGTTATGAAGTAGCAATGAAATAATTTTGTGGTTGGGAGTCACTACAACGTGAAGAACTGTATTAAAGGGTCACAGCATTAGGAAGGTTGAGAACCACTGGCTTAGTGGTTAAGAGCACTTGCTCCTCTACTAGAGGACTTGAGTTCAACTACCAGCACCCATATCAGGCAATTCACAGCTGCCTAGAACATCAGCCCCAAGGTATCTAATACTCTCTTTTGGCCTCCATGCATAGAAGCATACACAGAGACAGAAACACATACACATAAATAGATAATAAAATATATTTTTAAAAGCAGCCAGCAAGTCTAGATTCCAGGTGCTCCTTGTGTTTGAGGCGTAGTGGGTCTACAACCACCTGTTTATGCATTCATTCACTCACTATGTTAGCTTCCCGCTGTTGTAACAAAATGCAACATAAAGGAGAAGAGGGTTTAATTTGGCTCATGGTTTCAGAGATTTCAGTCCAGGGTCACTTGGTCCTGTTGCTTCTAGGCCTATGATGAGGCAGAGCTCTGTGGCAGGGAACACACCCATGGTTGAGTAAAGCAGCTGAGCGCATGGCAGACAGGAGGCTGAGAATATGCATGAGGGGAAATAAGCCATCAAAGGCGCCATCTCAGTGACCTACTTCCTGCCACTAAAACCCAAGGTTGAGCTTCCTAGTGCCCTCATTGACTAAGCCTTTAGCACATGACCCCTGGGGACAGTCTAACTCCCGTGCTTATTAAACTCCTGTGACCCAGTCATTAGGTTAACCATAGTGCCGGTTTTCTCTTAGTGGTGACAAATTTCCCCAAATTCTATGTATGAATCCTTTGAAGGACTTTGAAATTATTTAATTTTCGTAAGAATCCTATAGGAGAAGTGTTCAGTCTACTTGAGGGGAAGGGGTGGGTTCTTTTTGTTTGCTCACTTGTTTTTATTGTTCCCTCCAATTATGGAAATAAATAAAATCCACTGTTAAGAAAATGGCAGAGGCTGGACTGTGGTGGAGCACGACTTTAATCCTAGCACTTGGGAGGCAGACACAGGAGGATCTCTTTGAGTTCTAGGCCAGCCTGGTCTACAGAGAGAATTTCAAGAATTCTAAGCTACACAGAGAAACCCTGCCTTGAAATGCAAAAAACAAAACAAAACAAAACAAAAAAGTAGAAGTCAGAAGACTATGAGAAAGTGGTCTGGAATGACTTCCGTGGGCACCGCTAATTAATTCTGCAACCTATAGATGCTTTGTGTGTGTGTGTGTGTGTGTGTGTGTGTGTGTGTGTGTGTGTGTAGAGAGAGAGAGAGAGAGAGAGAGAGAGAGAGAGAGAGAATTGTGTGTTGGGTAGACAGCTATATTTTTCTTTCATATAAACAGGGTTACACAGTAATGTAATTCTTTGTTGTTATTTTCTTTTTTTTTATCGCATTTGGTCTCACTGTGCACCTGCATACAGATGCCCAAAAGCATTGGGCATCTTTGTTGCCTTCCTCAACCTAACCCTCTCACTTTTCTAGGTGGTGGGTCTTCTCTTGCCTAACCAGACACTGGCATCCACTGTCTTCTGGCAGGTAAGAATCTGTGGAGAGGGTTTCTGAAGGCAGCCATACACACACACACACACACACACACACACACACACACACACTGGTGTGGGAACTTCCCCATTGTCTTCTGCTTTCTCCAGGCCCCTGGGTCGAGTGCTCCTATCCCTTTACCCTTATCCCTAACCCACCAAGATTTCTGCTGAACAGGCGCCCAACACCTCAGTGTGATGCCAGCCATTTTGTGTCACTTTAACCTTCAGATGGAAGTGATGAGGGAGCCAGGTACCCTCACCTGGAACATGATGGCATGTTAGTGGCAACTCATTCTGTCCATGGTCAGTGACCAGAGGCCCGTAGCTTCTTTCTGCTGTCTGTGTCATGCTAACCAACAAGAAACCCCGTTGCTTCTGACAGCCTCTGGCAGGTAAAGAGGGGTCAAATAATGGAGGCTCTGTAGGAGATGAATTGCACCAGCTTCTGGATTCTTCTGGGGCAGTTTGTATATTCAGATCTGGGATGCAAATGATATTCTGGGACAGTTTGTACATTCAGATCTTGGATGCAAATGATATCAGCATTTTGAGGACTGTGCCCCCACCCCAAGCTTCCATGCTCAACTAGACATCACCTCAGTGTCCCCATCTCTATATACACATGGAGACATTCCCCATGATTTCTGGCAGGAGCAGAGGTGGGGTCTTACAGAGAGGTGACTGTGCCTTCCTCACTTCTCTCCCTGTTGCCTTCAGTGGCTGAACCAGAGCCATAATGCCTGCGTCAACTATGCAAACCGCAATGCTACCAAGGTGAGTGTCGTTGCCTTCTCTGCCTATAGCAGGTTCCAGTGGAAGTGACCTGGTTATTCTCTCTACAGTGTGACAGGCCACCATCACTGGGGCCAAGCACTGCCCCATTTGAGTCCTTGTTTCTGCTGCCAGTCCCACAGGCAAGCAGCATTTAGCTTGCTTGCCACGGGTCAGCAGAAGCCTCTGGGAAGAGCCCTGCAAGAGGTGGGTGAAATAAGGGAGTTCTGTGAGCTCTGCTGGCTTCTGCAGCTTTCTAGAGAAGCGTGTGCACTCTGATACTGGATCTAGAAGATGTCAGCGTCCTGAGGACTGAACTGCCCTAAGCTCCTGAACTCACCTAGAAGCCAGCTCAGTGTCCTCAGCTCCTAGGTTTCTGATGACATAGCTGATCTGTGATAAGGTCATATTTCCTTCTGGGCCGACCTTGGATCCAGAGGAATCTAGGTCCCCTCTGAGGGGTTGTTATTAATATTTTCTGGCAGTGGCAAAGAGAGCAGAGTTAGAAGCTGGCCTTTGCAGTGGGAACTTGAGGGGCTGGACACATTAAAGACTCTGTTTCATCCAGCCATGCATGCCTAGTCTCCCTTGCAGGTTTCTCCTATATGGCTCTACTCAGCGGCCTCCTAGATAACCTTAAACCAGCAATCTCCAAACTGCAGTTGTAGCAAAGACAGGTTCTTCTGCTTTCCTTTAATTCTTTCTTATGTTGGGACTTCAGATCTTTTGTTCTATGGAACTACTGGGCAATAGTAATGTATTGACAGTGAAGCCCCTGGCTGGGCTAAGGGGGCTGTGAGAGCCAGCTAGACCGGAGCTGGTGAGACATTGCTATCTCACATAGACTGTTTGCCAGGCCGAAACACCTGCTCACAACACAGCCTGGGACCCTGAACAGCCTGGGCATAAAGGACCTGTGTGGTTCCCTGCTGTTTCCACCTTCAGCCAGCAATGTCTGCCCAGATCTTTCTAGAACAGGGCAGAAGTGATACCTGCCCCTGCTTTGTGTGTTGTGCTTCGAAGGTTGCTGAGGGAGGTCTGGGCTCCTTCAGCTTCCCCGGGGGAGTGCTTCTTGAGGGCCAGGGGAGACCACTGAGCTTTGTATACTCAGTGTGTCTACCTTTCTGCCTGTCTGTCTTCCAGCCTTCACCCGCATCCAAGTTCATCCAGGGCTACCTAGGAGCCGTAATCAGTGCTGTCTCCATCGCTGTGAGTAGCTCCTACCCAGCTCCCAAGGGCTGCTGCCAGGGTGTGGGGAATGGGGTCTGTGAGGGGATGTCCAGCCATTTTTTCAGAGAAGAGGCTCTGATAGGAAGAACACAAATTGGCACTCTGGGGCATTGGGGAAGATAGAGAGGCAGAGTTCAGGGTAGGAAGGGCAGCCATCTCTCTGTCCCTGAACCCAGCACTCTATTTAGAACTGCTCTGCTCTTCGTCTCCCCAGTGCAATGCTTTCCTCAGAGCAGCCTCTGGGGCAGTCTGTGGCTGTCTACAGTCCCAGTTCACTGCTTCTAAACTTCCTGGATGCACACACTCCTGAATTTCCTCTCCCTAACTGAGCTAGGGGTCCCTGGACAGAAACCGTGTGAAGCTTGAGGCTCCATGAGCAAAGGGTATGTGTCTTTTTCTTGGTCTTTAATTGTCACTTAGAGAAGGCTATTGGCCTTCAGTAGAACTGGTATAGAGGGGACAGAACTGTCTCTATGCAATCTCTTCAGTCTTGGTTGGTGGGCCCAGCCTCCTTGGAAGGTTTATAAAGCTCTTCAAGTCAGGCACAGGTTGAGCCTTCTCAGACCTGTAAGAATAGGGCTGGAATTTGTTACAGGAATTTGCAGATTGACTGAGTGAGAGTGGGATTGGTGGTTCCCAGGTGGGGGCAGCAAACATGCAAGAGAGTGGCATGGGCCACAGCCAGAGAGAGGAATCAATCCTCTGAGACATTGTCCAACCTTGTTCCTACCCCCTTCCTGAGTCCCCATTGGAGTGGCTTCTTGTAACCAACTCCAGAGGATAAGGTACCTTTCACAACTGTCGTCTCTGTCAGTAAAAACACAACAAATGCATTAACTGTTAAAAAAGAATGGAAGTGGAAACCCTGCCTGGGACTGTAGCTCAGCAGGCAGATTGCTTGCCTAGCATGCACCGAGCTTTGCTTCTATCCCCAGCACCACATAAAACAGGTCATGGTGGTCCATGCCTGTACCCAGCACTCAGGGGATGGAGGCAGGGGGATCAGAAGCTCAAAGGCATCCCCAGGTACACAGTGAGTTTGAGGTCAGCCTGGGCTCCAAGGGACTCTGTCTCGACAACAAAGATGGCTGAACAGTCAAGAGCACAAGCTCTTCCAGAGGACCAGGGTTTGATTCCCAGCCCCTCATGGTGGCTCATAACCATCTGTAACTCCAGTCCCAGGGGATCTTACATCTCTTCCAGCCTCTGCAGGTGCTGCACATGCATGGTGCATGTACATGCAGGTGACACACACATAAAAGCAATGTTTTTTAAAACATGGTGGTGCATGTCTTTAATCCCAGAACTCGGGAGGCAGAGGCAGGTGGATCTCTGTGAGTTCGAGGCCAACCTGGTCTTCAGAGTGAGTGCCAGGATAGGCTCCAAAGCTAAACAGAGAAACCTGTCTCAAAAACCAAAAAAAAAAAAAAAAAAAAAGCAATGTTTTTAATTTTAAAAAGAAAGAAAATGCAAATTAACGTGAAGAAGAATTCGAATATACTAATCTTTTGGTAAACCCTCATTCCTTATCTCTTCTGTCACTAAACATAATTGTACACACTGTGTGACAAACCATTCATCCTACACAGTCATTGCTATTGCTGGTCTTCTAAAGTAGAGCTTTGGGGCTGTCCTCAAGTGGCCTCTTTTATTTTACTCCCACGCAGACCAAGCCATCTCCAAGTGGCTTGTTAAGTGGGGCATCCCTTCTTGTGCCCGGGATCTCATTCTTTCCCTGAATCTTATGCCTTGCTGCCAGTTAGAAGCCATAGAAACTACATATCTTCCCAGTGGCCTTGCAACCCTGTGTGGAACTTAGTTTGGGAGTCAGAAAAAGTGAGGCTTCCTGACTCTGCTGGGTCCAAGGGCTCTCCTGAGAAGGGAGAGAGCTCATTTACCACCTGTTCACTCTGTGAGGTAAGAGGAATTTGGAGCCTCCCTGGCCTAGCTGCTTCAACAGCCTTTCCCTTCCTGGATATCTTCTGATGAAGTAGAAGGATCTGGAAGGAGGGTAGGGGGCACACAGGGAAGGGCTTGAATGAAGAGGCCATTGCCTTGGTGCCTTCCCCTTGGGTCTGGGGCTCAGGAATTCTACTTATGAAAGCTCTGGACTCTCTTGAGTCCCAGCCCTTAAGATCCTACTGGTGGTGGGGTCTTGTTCATTCCATCCCTACACTTGCCAGGCTTGTACTGCCCTCACATTGGTTAGTGGAGGAACGAAGAACCCAGCAGAGTTACTTGGGACTTGGATTTTCACATTGGGCTGTGCTTGCACAGTGTAGGACATCCTTCACCTCAGCCTCCTTGCTTGGTTCCAGAACCCCCAGAGGAGAGTTTCCTTGATCTTAGTCCCAGAAACCTCATGTTCTTCCCACACTCAGTCATACCCGTCTCCATCCTCTCATTGTCCCCAGTTGGATTACAAGTTAGCTAGGGACAGGCATCTGTCTTGTACCCCACAGAGGGAACCATAGAGCCCTGTGCCATAAATACCCATTAATTAGGCTGCTGATTGATCACTGGCTTTGAGAGGCCCCTCCCCTCCTCTCCAGGAGCCTGAGCCTTAGCAGTGGCATGTCCCTCTGCCTGAAGACTTCACACAGCGAGGGGCTCACTTGGGCAGATGGAGTGGAGTTCCTGACTTGGAAAATCAGCAGCTTGCTTTCTTTTCTTTTGTGTGTATAAATCACAAAACTGTCTAAGACAGGGGCTTGATTTTATTTTCCTCTCCCTTGGTCTCTGGAACCCCAGGCCCTGCAGCCTCATTAACTGATTTCGCCTTCAATTAGAGACAAATCCCCTCCCAGGGCGAGCCTGTTAGGAGCAGATGACCTGCAAACAAGTGTCACGGCCCCAGTGGTTGGCCCAGTTCTGGCCTTAATTAAAACGAGTCCCTACAAGCAGGTGGCTAGATGGCGCCTGATGGGCTGAGAGCAGGTCCCAGAGACTAAGCTGAGCTGAGGTGCAGCCTCCTATGTGGGGTCTGCAGAGCCTTGTCTTTCTCTCAGGAGAACCTTTGACCTTGGCCAGTAGCACCCCATCACATATCAGACATTCCCCCAAATGAAACCTCATGCTGGGCCCTGGACTGTTGGGGTGAGAAGCTTCTCTGGGGCCCTCCTAAATAGATTTGGCAATGTCTGGGCGCTTGCTTTAGAATAAAAAAGAAATCCCGTCTTAAGTTATTTTTGAAACCTAACAGTTTGCCGTCTTTTAACAAAGGAAGCCTCTCTCTGTCTTCTTTGTGTTTTTGTTCTGAAGTTCGTGTGAAATCCTTCTGGGCTGGCCCTCACCATCTCTGTGAAGGGAGAGAGCAGGCAAGGACCCTGGCTCCTTCTGCAAGGTCTGTGATGGGCCAAGCACTTTGCAGGAGCCTAGGCTGCAGCCTACTATGGCTTTCAAGATGCTGGGAGGGTGAGCGGAGAGTACTGGGGGCAGTCAGAACCCCTGTGGTGCTGACTCTGAGATATCTAACTCAGTCACAGGGATGACACATGGGACACATGGAGAAAGCCAGCAGAAGGCAGGGCTGGATGTCCCAGAGAGAGGGCGCAGCAGATTCAGAGGCATGCAGAAGGATGGGAATGGATTCTGGATACTGTGAGAAGTGTCTGCCACAGACAGAATAATGGTGATAGTGACTATGGAGTGATAGCAGTGATCTTCTGGCCAGGCATACCTGTAGCCAGCCCCTAGCAGGCGTGGCTACAGTGTCCCCTCAAGGAATCCAAGACTGGAGATGGAGCGAGGGCTGTAGAAAAGGGCTCAGTGCTGATACCTATGACTTGTCAGGGGCAGGTTGGTGGAGCCTAATGACAGGAGACACTTGTGTGTCCTGTCCCTGACTCCTCCATCTTCAGGTAAGCCTTAGCTGCACTGGCCTCTCCTTAAGGAACAATGCAGATGTCCTTTCCCCAGTGGTCCTTCCTATGTCGGATGCAGCCTTGGTCTTCATGGAGAGGCCCAGGGAGTTCTCATTGCTTGCTGGAGATTGCCCTTGATTAGTAAGCACACGGTCAGATTAGTAAGCAGCCACTCAAGTAGTAACAGTGTCTGATCCTTACAGAGTGCCGACACTATGCTAGTTCAGCCCCATTTTACAGATGGGGAAATCGAACACAGACTGAAGTCAAGGACAGAGCCTCTGCAGCCCACCCCAGGCTCACTCACATACTCCTCTGTTAACATAAAGGCCCTTTTGGCCTGTTCTCACTGGGGCTTACTGAGATGTGAAAAAACCAAGCAGTGTTTTAGCTTCTAGGTAGGAAGAAATATATTGTACTCTTGGTAGGCAGGTCCCACCACAGGTACCCCAAGAGCAGTGGAGACTAGAGGTGGCTCTTTAGATCTACCACCAACCTTCCTACTGGTTTCTAGACCTCTGTTTTCTGGCCAACGTTAAGTCAGAGATATGATCCAGAGTACACCCTGCCTCCTGTAAGACAAGGTCTGGCTGGCTGTTTGCAAGGGCCAGGCCTTTCTGTTCTCTTCAGAGCTCCTATGGTAGTCTATTGCTATTGCTATGATACTTTCCCTTCAAGTGACTTCTGGGTTGGAGGGGCCATGGAGTAGACCCAGCAGCTGAGTTTGAAGTGTTCCAGAAGCCTGCAGATGGTGGTGCTGGCAGTGGCGAGTCAGACATGACAAGCAGCTCTGCGTGTATTCTTGGGAGGACAAGGGTCTGATATAATTGTTCTCCTCACAGCCAGCACACTGGTCCCCATGGAACACAGTTCGGGCGTTAGGCATGACCCCTGTTCCTAGCAGATAAGCCCCTCCGTGGCAGCTGGAGCTGACAGGAACTATGGCTGTTGACCAACTGCTCCACTCACCTTTGCTTCTTTGCCCCTGAGCTCATGCATTGCCAAGCCACAGGCTGGCTGAGGCTGGAAGCCATTTGACCTTCATGAAGGGTCACCAGTCAGTCCACTTTGTAGCCAGGTTTAGTTTACAAAGCTGTGCCCTCTGGTGGGTACTTC